AGACAATGCCAAATTTTTGGCCTGAACTAGAACAGTATTACCCTTCACTACGAAAGGGAAGACTGGGGCAAAAGTAAGCGCTGGTTTGGGACATGTTAGGCTTAAGGTGCCTGATGAGACATACCAGTGGTGACAGCAAGTGGCACGGCTGGATACGCAAGCCTGGAGTTGAAAGGTGAGATCTAGCTGGGGACATATGTGGGAGTGAACAGCTTATATACGGTAATTAAAGCCATTAATATATGAATGTAAGTAAATAATACTTTCTCCAATCTTTGGTTTCTTGGGGGCAGTCTTTCAGCAGAGATAACTGTTATTTATTAACTTAATGGCAAAAATATCAATATTTATGCAGTTTAAAAAGTCAAATGAGCTTAAAGAAAATGGCCTCATTAACAGTTTTCTAATTACTTATATAAAATTAGTTTTAGTCCCTAATGATGCATAAATAATGTTTTGCTTTTTTTTTTTTTTTAAACATAAAAGGCCCAGGTCAGCAAGTCGCTAAGTGATGAAGGAATCGCCAAAATGAATTTTAAATCTTCAGGAAAGGGGCTGACCTTTTTTTTATCACAAAAAGGTGAATATTTTAATTGTAAGACTTTTAATTTTTACAAACTGTTGCCTATAAGTGACAAAGTTTATAAAAATGTACAACCATCTTTTTAAAAATATACATATAATTAGGCTGCTGCTTTCGATTCTGCCTCCTGGCTTGACAGAATTCACTTTCAAGGTATGACCTTACTGAGGTAGGTTTGCTTTTTGGGCATTTTCCCAGTTTTACTGCTATAAGTGACTTCCAGTGCTGTGTAAGTTGAAGATGGGCAGCACAGTGATCTGACTTACATACATCATGAAATGACTGCTGTGTGATGGCGACTTAGGATGTCCTCGTAACACCTTTCATAGAAACCACACAGCCTTCAAAGGATAGTCGTGCTGTACATTCCATCCATCCCCAGTCCTTCCTGATCTTATAAATAAGATGGTACCTTTCGTCCATCCCCTGCCTCTTATAACCACAAATCTGATTTCTTTTTGAATTTTTTAAGGTTCCACATCTAAATAAGACGATATAGTAACTGTCTTTCTCTGACTTACTTACTTAGCATAATGCCCTCGTCTGTCCATGTTGTTGCCAATGGCAGGGTTTCCTCCTCTTTTATGGCAGAATTCTACTGTATGTACTTAACACGACTCCTTAACCATTCACACGTGGATGGACCTGAGGCTGTCTCCATGTCTTGGCTACTGTAGGTAATGCAGCTCTGACCGGAGGGGTGCAGACATCTCTTCGACATTGTCTTTCCATTTTCTCTGGATGAATACCCAGCAGTGGGATAGCTGGATCACGTGGTAATTCTGTTTTTTAATTTTCGAGGACCCTCCATGTTTTCCATTGTGGCCGCACTAATTTACGTTCCCACTGGCAGCGTGCCAGGGTAGACTTTTCTCCTCATTGTCACCAGCATTTGTTCTCGTCTTTCTGAGGACAGACATTCTGACAGGCATGAGGTGATACTGCAGTGTGGTTTTGATTTGCATTTCCCTAGTGATTAGTGATGCTCAGCATTTTTTCATGTACCTGTTGACCATCTGTATATCTTCTTTGGAAAAATGTCTATTGGGATCTTTTGCCCATTTTTTTAATTGGATTTTTTTCTATTGAGTTGTATGAAAATATATTTTAGATATTAAACCCTTATCAGATACATGGTTTGAAGATACTTTTTCCTATTCCATAGGTTGTCTTTCCATTTTGTTGCTTGCTTTTGCCATGTGGAAGCTCTTGAGTTTGATGAAGTCTCAACTGTTTTTGATTTTGTTGCTTGTACTTTAGGTGTCATATCCAAAATATCGTCACCAAGACCCATGTAAAGGAGCTTTTTATTCCTATGTTTTCTTCTAGGACTTCTATGGTTTTCAGTATTATGTTTAAATCTTTAAACTATTTCAAGATAATTTTTTGTGAGCGGTGTAAGATGGGGTCCAATTTCATTCTTTTACATGTGAATATCCAATTTTCCCAGTGCCATTTATTAAAAAGATTGTCTTTTCTCCACAGAGTAGTCTTGGCTCCCTAGTCAAATATTAGCTGACTGTATACACATGGGTTTATTTCTGGGCTCTCGATTCTGTTCTCTACAACACAGCTGAAAATCAAGAAGTGTGATACTTTGGATTTAGGATTGCTCTGGCTATTTTGGGTCTTTTGTGGCTCCATATAAACTTTAGAATTGTTTTTTTCTAGTTCCATAAAAAATGCCATTGGTTTTTTTTTTTTTTTTTAGGCAAGGCAACCGTTGGTTGACCTCACAGATTACAAGGACCTTGTCATCTTACAATCCCTTTTTTTTAAAAAATTTTTTTATGCCTACAGCACCTGGTCTTCCTTGGTGGTCTCCTATCTAAGTACTAACCAGACCCGACCCTGCTTAGCTTCCGAGATCAGACGGGATCGGGCATGTTCAGGGTGGCATGGCCATAGATACTATTGGAATCTCGTTAGGGATTCCACTGGATTTGTATTGACATTTTAACATTAATTCTTCCAATTCATAAACATGAGATACCTTTCCATTTAATTTCTTTCATCATTGACTTCTAGTATTCAGAGTAGAGATATTTCACCTCCTTGGTTAAATTTATTCCTATGTTATTTGTTTTAATGGTATTGTAAATGAGATCATTTTCAGATAATTTGTTAAGTGTATAGAATGTTACTGATTTTTGTATCCTGCAACTTTACTGAATTCATTCATTAGCTCTATCAGCTTTTTGGTGGAATCGTAGGATTCTGTACACATGAAATCATGTCATATCTACAAAGACAATTTTACATATTATTTCCCAATTCTGAGGCCTTTTCTTTTTCTTGCCTAACTACTCTGGCTAGAACTTCCGGTGCTATGCTGAAGAGGAGTGGTGAGCGTGGGTACCCTTCTGTTGTCCCTAATCTTAGAGGAAAAACTTCCAGTCTTCCGCCATGGAGTATGACGTTAGCTGTGGGACTGCCTTATATGGCCTTTGTTACGTTGAGGTATGTTCCTTCTATACTTGAGATCTGATCATGACCAGATGCTGAATTTTGTCACATGCTTTTTTTCTGTATTGAGATGTGATCCTTCCTTTCGTTCTATTAATGTGATGTGTCAAACTGATTGATTTGCATGTGCTCAACCACCCTTGCTTCCCAGGGAAAAATCCCACTTGATCGTGTGCTGAATTCGGTTTGCTAGTATGTTATTGAGAATTTTTGCGCCTGTATTCATCAGCGATGTTAGCCTGCAGTTTTTTGTTGTGGTAGTGTCTTTGTCTGCCATTTCTATCAGTGTGATGCCGACTCTGTAAAATGAGTTTGAGTGTTCCCTCTTTTTTGCTTTTTTGGAAGCGTTTGAGAAGGGCTAGCATTTTAATTCTTTAAACGTTTGGTAAAATTCACCCATGAAGCCACTGGGTCCTGGGCATATCTGTTAGATTTTTGATTCCTGACTCAGTCTCCTTACTGGTAATCGGTCCGTTCTGATTTTCTATTTCTTCCTGCTTCAGTCTTGGTAGATTGTATGTTACTAAGAACTTTTACATTTATTCCAGGTTTTCCGGGTTGTTGGCATATAGTTGCTCATAGTAGCCTCTTCTGATCCATTGTATGTCTGTTGTCAGTTTATGTTTCCATTTTCATTTATAATTCTGTTGATTTGGGTCCTCTTTTTCCTGTGCTTAGTCTACCTAAAAGTTTATCAATTTTTTCTTTCGAAGAACAAACTTAGTTTTGTTAATCTTTTCTATTACATTTGCTAAGACTTGTTTTGCGGTCTGACGTGGTCTATCCCAGGAAACATTTCATGTCCGCTGGCGAAGAGTGTATAATCTGCTGTCAGACAAAATGCTCTCCATGTGTCTGTCAGGCCCATTTGGTCTAAGCGATGATCAGATCTGCTGTTTCCTTATTGTCTAGATGATCCAGTCCTTGTTGAGAGTGGGGTCTTCGACCATTATTGTTATTTCTTTTTGCTCTGTAAGTTTTTGCTTTATACGTACAGGTGCTCCGGTGTTGGGTGCCTAAATATTTACAATTGTTACATCTTGATGGACTGAACCCTTTATGATTGTGACCTTCCTCTCTCTTTTCACTATTTTCAGTTTAAAGGATTTTGTCTGACGTAAGTAGAGCTACCTTGCTTCTCTGGGGTTACCGTTCACTTGTAACGTCACTCCCAATCTGTGTGTGCCTTTAAGGCTAAAGCGAGTTATTATAGGTAGCACATTATTGGGTCTTGTCTTTTTTTCCATTCTGCCATTGTGTCTTCTGATTGGAAAACTTAATCCTTTTACATTTAAAGTAATTACTGCCAGGTAAGGACGTACAGCTGCCATTTTGTTAACTGTTTTCTGGCTGTTTTGGACATCCATTTTTCCTTGTTTCTTATCTTCCTGTGCTTTTTAAAGTGAATTATGCACTGCCATTACCGTATTACAGAATCCAGCTTTGACTGTGTATAACCATTACCAGTGAGCTTTGCGCTACCTTCTCATGTTTTTAGAAAGACCATGTTTTTAGCAGCCTTTTACTTCTACCCAAAGAGCTCCCTTTAGCATTCTCGTGGGATGAGATCCAGCTTTGACTGTGTATAACCATTACCAGTGAGTTTTGCGCTACCTTCTCATGTTTTTAGAAAGATCATTAGCAGCCTTTTACTTCTACCCAAAGAACTCCCTTTAGCATTCTCGTGGGATGAAGCTGGAGTGGAGGTTCCCAAGAAGTGACCCACAATGTCCACCATGGGCTCTTTTCCTCCTGGAAGTACAGGCTCAAGGCAGACCTGTGCCAGTACAGAGAGGGGCAGTGTGGTCAGTGCGTGGCGGCTCCTCCTCCCCTCCCGCTGAGCTGTGTCTCGCCCTCTGCGGTGCAGACGGCTCCTAGGATTCACACGGCGGTGTCTTGTCCGTGCAGAGTTGTTGGTTCTTCTTATGAGGGGGAGTGAAGCTAGGAATGACCTATGTCACCATCGTGGTGACACTTCTCAGAGTTCACTTTCAAGGCATGATCTTACTGAGTTGAATCAGTCGATCAGGACAGCTGGACGTCCCCCTGGGCACCACATGTCCACCTTCCAAGCCTGTTACTGTTGACTATATCCTTACACAGTCAAGTTCTCTTTCAGAGTCTCATTCTCTTTGTTTTTTTTTAAGATGCTCAAGTTAAAACAACAAATAAACCCTTACTCAAGCCCTCATATTCCTTTTAATATTAATCTTCTCCTAGTGACATCCCTCTAGCATCCCACCTGCAGACTCCATTTCCTTAGCTCCCAGCTGATTCCTGGCGCTGTCCACAACGCTGTCCACACCTCTGCCCACACCGCTGTCCACACCGCTGTCTATACCGCTGTCCACACCGGCTTCCAGCCTCATCCCCTTCTCCTGGTCAGCATTGCCCAATGCCTCATTGTCTTTTAAATTAGAACCAGGTATGTTGATTTGAAAAGTGAAACAGCATCCAACTACTTGGAAATTAAAAGCAAAAACAACAACAAAAAGCCCCACCAAAAACGAAGTCCTCTATTCTTCTAAATAATTCTTAGAGAAAAACACATTGCATTTCCGAGACGACTTAGGAAATTAAACATTACCTATGAGACATGGTCAGAATGATAACCAGAGAAAATTTATAGTATTCAATGTTTTCACTATTAAATAAGAAAATATGGTAACCCAAACATTCCGTCCAAAAGGATAGAAGGGCAGGAATAAAAAAAATACAAGGAGAGCAGGAAGAAGGCATTAATTAAAAAAAAACAAACTCACAAATTATATGAGAAATACTAAAACTGATCTTCCTGGTTCCGTAAGTAAAAAAAGAAAATAGATATCCTCCGCCTAGTACAGTCGGAATAAAAGTGATAAACACACATACTAACTAAGGAGGAAAAAGTAACCAGATAAGCGTTTTCTAAGCATGGTAGAAGAATGCTGCATATACCTCCAAGCTAATAAATTTGAAAAAAATTTTAATTGGTTTTCTAGGAAGATATTAATAAAAGTAGACTCAAGAGAATAGAAAACCTGAATAATCATGGGAGAAAAACTGTCAAAATTACTTCCCCAAATTTAATTTTTATGAGCAAGTTCTTTAAAAAGTTTAAAGAAACACTAAGAATTATTCTTATATTTTAAAAAAATTCTCAAGCATAAAGCTTTGTTCATTTAACATTAGCATAACCAATAAATAAAACCTTGATAGAGGTTAAAAATGATAATAGACCGGCTGTTTCCCCCCAGAGACATGAAAACCACCCAGGGCGGGATTCTGGGAAGGTGGAGGCAGCACTGCTGTAGGTCCTTCCACCTCTCGAGGTTCCCCCGAGAAACCGGAAACCGTGCACATGACCATATTTTGTGACAAGGTGTCACCATGAGAGCTGACATATGAGCGGACAGAGACAGACCACCAACCGCTACCAAACCCGCATGGTCTCAGATCGCAGACAGGATGCGATGGAAAGTACTCACCTTGTTTGAGTCAGAGTTAAAATCCTCTTTTATTATTTTCTTTATGAAAACTGCCTTTAAAGACAATGTATGCAAAAACCAAGTTCCCCCCCTCAAACATGAAAATTGTTGCAAACTTTCTAAAATGTGAGAAAACCAAAATACTTAAGCGATTTAGAAAAAAAGTATAGGTAGGTCCCAGGAGGCTGCAGGAAATGCTGCAGCCACAGCTGAGGCCTGCTGTCCCCTTGCTCCAGGCGGTCAGCCGAAGCAGGCCGCACCTCCTGAACCCTGGCAAGCCTGAGGGGACGGACGCATCGCCCCATCGTACGGGGACGGGCACCGCCAGGCGAACGGGCAGAACCAGAACGCGGAAAAAAGGCTCCCAAGTTACTGCTGAATTGGGTGCAGGCTCACCTTAATGAAACTTTCTTCCAGAGAAAAAAGAAAAACCCAAGGATGAAGAGAAGGACAAGCTCGGCACGTGGCTCGGCAACGTGTGCGTCTTCTTCATGAACACGCTGTTCCAAGCGCACAAGCACGAAGAAGTTCTCAAGGAGAAAGTGGAGGAACAGAGGCTGCTGCACGCAGCCCTGGCCAAGCAGAGGCAAATGGAGGATGACGAGCTGGAAGCCAAGTACCTTTGTGACACCTCTCAGCTCCTTCCCTCCCACCCGGGCTCTCAGCCTCTCAGCCTCTCTCGCTCCCTCTCGCTCCCTCTCTCT